TTAAAATCTTGCACATATGATTATCACAAGATAGATGAGATTATGTCACTAAGCATAATTGATCATTTGCATAAATTTGTTCCCAGAAATTTAACTCTGGAAAAGCACCTTGTTATTGTCCTACATTACAGATATCATAATTCCAGCATTTAGTTGTACATTGTTAGGCCTGTGTTAACAAAGACCCTTCACACTTTTTGAGAACAGCTTCAGCATACATACAGCCTGCGTCTCCAAGTCCCATTGCTTTTTTGACATGGTATTTGTAGAGAAGAAACAGTCTTCAAAACCTCTTTGCGATGATTTCTTCCCTTTGTTCCCCTTCTATTGATATGTACCAACTTCTTATTCTAGTCATGAGTCAATTTCCTTCCTTCTAAAAATGCTAGTTGTTTTCTTCCAAAGAAAATTCTTGTTCAGAATATTCCCAGCCTGTTTGGCCAATTTATAAAGTAAAATTATTTTCTTTCATCCTAAGAAAACATGCATCTTTATTTCTAAGTAAAGGTTGCAAAATATGTTGCATATTCCCATGCTGATACATCCAAACAACTTGGATGTTGTATTTCAGTATACCTGGGAACAGATTGATCTACATTGCTTTTGCTTGTGATCTGTTGATAGAATGTTGTTTTATTAACCAGAGTTCAAAATAATTGCATACCTGTAGGACTGTACTTGGAATACTTATGTTTACACATACATGTGGAATAGGAATAGAAACATCAATTATTATATACAAGGAAAGCAGCAGTTAAGTTTAATCCATATTAAAATGTAGAAGAAACTTTGTACTTGGAGCTAATACTTGATTTTCCTGCCTGTTGGGTTATATTTTGGTTGTGTTTATAAATCTGAAGTCAGAATAATTTAAGACTTTTGATACCTTCCCAAGTGAACAAGCCCTGAACAGCTTTCTCCTATTTCTTACTTTTTTTGGAATTTTCTCTATACAAGGCAGTAGCAATTGCATTTGTAATAAAAAGAATTTTAAGGATCTGTTTTCTTTTTTTCAGGGAACAAAAGTTCTACTGGCACTTGAAGCTCATATTTCCTCAGAGTCATGCTAAATTCACAGAACAAAGGTATTCATACATACTTGCTAGCAAACTTACTTTCACATGAAGTTTAAATACTTATGTAATTAAATTATTTAATTTAAATAATTTCTGGATTATATTTTACAATTACATTTGGGTTTTGTTTGGAAAGAATGCACAAGTTTCTCAATAAACAAACTATTGGGATATTTCCTTCGAGCTGTTTTAAAATTACATATCATCTTACCTATTTCTAGGTCATCTAGGAAGCTTTAAATTGAGAAAGTATGGCTCATTGTACATATTTCTTATATGGCTGTACCCCCAAGAATTTACTTCAGTTTCCTGTATAGAAAGATTATACAATAGGAAGATGGATCTACCATTAAAATTTATTTAAAGATATGAAAGAATTATTTCTATTTAGAATAAATAATTGAAATAGGAAAAACATAGCAGAGAGTCTTTTTGGTGTCTTGGATATGAATTCCTAAATGTTTTGTATATATCTCTGAATGAACCTTATGTAGTTGAAAAAGAGTAATTAATAAAATGCATACAGTACATATTAATGTGATGCTAACCGGTTTGTGTATTCCTATGAATATCTTCACTGATAATTTATATTTCTGGATAAAGGGTACCGGATGATAAACCATTGTATGATATTTTGAAGACATATATTGATCCTCAAGAATGTGATCCTGTGAAGCAGCAAAGGTAGTTCTTTTTACAAAATATTTGTATGCTCTATTATTTCAGTACATTAGTACAGTACAGTATATTGTGTATATTATTTTTTCAGTTGGATTCTCTTGCTGAATCAACAGTTTTTTTAAAAAAGGTTTCTGGATTTTTTGTTACGTGATAAGATTTCTTAAATGTTACATTTTTTAAATTGCAGATTAAAAATCTACACAATATCTCCCCAGTCAGACATACAAATTTTGATGAAACTAGAAAATAGGCCACATAATTCTGTCAGGTAAGAATTTTAATCTTATTGTTATTAAAGGGAAGAGTATATCTACTGAGCTTACAGATAATCATTTGATTAACTATGAGCTGATTAGAGATTGGATTTTGTAGAAAGAGATATTCAGTATTGAGTAAACTTACATTTTTCTTTCTTCAAAATTGTAATATTTCAAAGAAGGCCTACAGCTTATGCAGAATACACACTTTACATAAACCACCTGAGATTCTGGGTTGGGTTTGAAAAAGCACTTGCGTGAAACTATTTTTTAAAAATGAAGATGACTGCGAATTTTAAAGTTATAAATACAAATCAGTGTAAGGCAAGTCCATGTATCCAGAAAATGTATTTCTAGTTATTGTGGATGATGAAAGGAATTTATTTTCTTTTCACGTTGGTCTATGCTGGAGTGTTATAAATTATTCCCTTCTTCCATGCATAGTTTTGGCAGTTCCTTTTGGTCAACTATCATATTTTCTTTTTCCATGCAAAATGGATGGTGGTGGTGAGGAGGAGGAGGAACATATTAGGTCATTTCGGAAATTGTTTACTCAGTACAGTAATGTGTTTAATAGTCCTCTCTCTAGTAAAAACAATAGTGTTTGCAGTTTCTCTGGTTCTTTTTTTTTTTTGAAACTGTGTGACTGATGGTTAAGAACACACAAGACATTAAAACAGTGGTCCTCACCTTTCCAGCTTGGTGGGTCGGCAGGATGGGAGGGGTTGGTTCCATGCGAGCACCACGGAGATTGGGCATCTCTGCATTAAAACACAACATTGTAGAAGCAAATTTGCTTGACAGATGACAAATCTGTTCTATAGTAGTGCCATCTATTCATAGAGCTTTTTCTCTTTTGATTTCCCTTTTCCCTTCTTTGTCTGAGACAGAGGGCAAAAAACATAAATGATTCCAGAGATTAGGAGAATCCACTAATGATTAATCTTACTCATCCTCACAAGCAAAATATACAGCATTGTATGTATATATTTTAAGAAAAGCTAATTCACTGTCAGACAAAAGGAAAAGTGAAGAGAAGATACTTGGTTAGGCAAATGAAGGTTACATAAGAGTTACAAGTACCTTATTAATTAACAGTTCAGAGCAGGAAGAATACACTATTGTTCTTGGTTATTCTTGTAGTGTCTTAAATTCCTGTTAGATATAGCTATTTGTCCTCTTCAGAATTAATCCTATTGTCCAACATAATATGCTTGGAATGTCTTAGTAATGATTTCATACGGTAGGATTATTGCTTTTTCCAGTAAGGGAAGGAAAGAACCAATTGCCAAATAAAACAATCTGGTTGGGGAACTACATCTTATTTTCTCAAGTGACTTTCCAGAAAAGGTTTTGTGAGTAAAAGAAATGATGGTAATCAATAAAGGATGTTTTGGGATAATACATATATTTACCGTATCATGAATCACAAGTAATTAATAAGGCTTTTTGGTACCTGAATAAACTTTTCCGTGCACAACTTCTGATATGTGTATAGTTTCAAATATTCTTTCAGAAGTGTTATAAGAGCACTTATGGTACGATGTCAGTGAAGGAGTAATGTTGAACTTCAGTTCCTTTGTATGATGACTAAACTGTTAGTTGTGCCACATCCTAATATTTCTTAGCTGTACACATATTTGTTGTGAAGGATATCTCCTTATTTTGTGTTTTAAAGACCTAAATATTATTATTAATTCTAAATATTGAGCTAGTCCTTAGCTAACTGCTGGTTTATTTTCTTGGATAGCTGAAACATAGTACTAGAGTTTATTTTTTCTTTCATTGCCAAATCTGTCTTTCGGAATTCCAGTCATTATATGCCAGTGTGAACCATTACCAATGTTACAGCAATCTTTGTTTTAAACTGATGATAGTTTTCATCAGTCTTCTACAGCAGGGGTCCCCAACCACCGGTCCGCGGACCGGTACCAGTCCGTGGAACAAGTCCTACCGGGCAGCTGGCTTGCTGGGCGCCGCCATATTTTTTTGATGAAAAAGTGCTTCCGGTGAGCTTTTCCGGGTAGAAAGCTCACCGGAAGCACTTTTTCATCAAAAAAAGATGGCAGCGCCCAGCTAGTGCCGGTACCGGGCCGCGCCATAAAAAAGGTTGGGGATACCGGGCCGCGGCGTAAAAAAGGTTGGGGATCACGGTTCTACAGTCTTCAAATTTCTACTCCTATTATTCCAAATCACTATAACCTTTTCCACAATGTTTGTCTAGTGCAGGGCTGTAAAACTCAAGGCCCATGGGCCAGATGCATCACACCCATGCCCAGTTTAGTGAAAAGGGAAAAAAGTCCTGGTATGTCACATGGCGCTGCTATGATGATGCGAGTTTGACACCTGTGGTCTAGTGAGAATGTGCAATGTAAACATAGTTTCAGAGTTTTCCTTCAGAACTGATTGTATCATATCCTTTTTGTTTCCAAAGGCATTTGTTTAAATCTGCTATAACTTAGTTTGATTTCAGTTCTGTCAATGCTATTGGCTTTGCAACTGTCCACCTTTAAATGAGCAATTATTAAGAAGTGGTCACTCTTCATTTTTTTTAGTTGCTTTGCGATTAATATGCCATTAAGTATTGAATTTAATGATCATAGAATTTAATGATCATAGAATTCTGTAAATACTTAATAACAATTAAGCCACCTGTCATTTTTAAAGTAATCCGTTGAGGAAACTTTTTAAGAACTACATTGTTATTACATCTTTTTTTTAAGAATTACATGGGTTTTTTATTTATTACAAAGCTATGAATAGCTAAAAGGAAACATAATTCATAGTTTTCATTTTTTTACAGGATTCTATCAGTATTTCCATTTTATGCTGAGAGTCTATTTTGCCTCATTTCCTCAGTGATATACTTCCTTATGTATTTCAATATATTTTAATGTGCTATGTTAGCAAGAATCCATTACATTCTTGAGTGAAAAACAGTCATCTAAATTCATTCAACAAACAGTGCTCACTCTTCTCCATTTGCAATTGCACTATAAATAGATACCTTATGTTTCCTTAGATTGCACAAGGTTGTAGATTGGCATCTTGAATATCAAAAGTTGAATGCTAGCAGTAGGTAGTATTTACATTCAAATACGCATTTCATTTTCTTCACCTAAACAAGGAAATTACTAAAAACTATGCAATGAGTTCTGTACCTGAATATCCTGAATTTTAACCTGTGTTTTGTTTCTCAATACTATTACTGAATATTTAAGGCATGCAAAATGTTCTAACATAGAACATTCTAATCCTGAAATAGGATATCCTGTATTGTAATAGCCCACTATGGAAGCTGAATTGTTTCAAAGTATGTATATATTGCAGAATTTGAACTGATAAAAGTGGAAGAATAATTGGGACTAGCATCAATAATTTGAATTGTTTCTTTCGCTGGTTTGAGATAGAAATTTTGTTGTGCTGCTGTCCAAAAGAACCTGCAAAATGTATTTTCACTTCTTTTGCCAAAAGGGAATCCCTCCGTTTATCTTTTACTGACAGAAATGAACTAGAATTGTTCTCCTGACCTTGTCATGAGAGGTTTGACCTTCTTTCATTGGCAGAGCCATTGGAATATGTTTGTTTTCAAAAGTGAGTGGCTTTTTGGCAGGCAATCAGCAAATAAAAACTTTATAAGAATGCAAAGACCTTATGGGAATATGAAGTTTAATATTCTTTTAATGCAACCTATTGTATATTAATTGAAGACTTTTATTCACGAAGGGACATTGCCAGGTAAGATGAATACATGGCCTAACAGCACTTTTAATAAAGAGACTTTGTTCTTTTAAAGGCCCTTGTCTTGAATAACTAAAATTTATGCAATACTTGATATATCTGATTTATTTTGTCGCCCTGTTTCATCATAAAAGTTACACAATTTCTAATGCATCAGCATTATATTCTTATCATAATTCATCGTAAGTATAGTTTGGCAAAGAGATCAGACTATTTTGATATCTATATATTTAAATTAAAATCCACATACTAGACTTTATTTGGGAGTGTGAATAGGGCACATTGGTGGGTGGAGTGAAGCTTATGTACCACTTGCTTGGAGTTCGTGATATAGATCCACGCTTGTCTGCATGAATTTGCCAGCTGCAAAAGCCATTGTGTCAGATACTTTTTCAGCTAAAGTTCTATGTAGCTATATAACTCTTAAAATTACTCAGTAAGGCCTAACAATCCCTAAAAAGAAAATGTCTGGTCCTAGAGACTTTTTTGCTGTAATGAATTATTGAACCTTCCACAATGATTGATTAATCAGTATGTTTATATTCTGGCCCTTCAGAGTTGTCTTTGATGCCACCCTGTCTTAAATTCGAAAAGTATAACTTAATAGTGTGAAAACTACAGTTTAAAAGACATCTGTGTGAAGGCATAGTGAGAAATAATTTATCTTGCCCTGCTTCTGGATAAGATCTGAATTTATTCCTTAGCAAACATCAGTAGAACTTTTGAATAAAGCTTAAAGCTGTAAGGAATTGCTAAAGCTACATCATTTGAAACAAAACAGTTTTCTTTATTTTGTGTGTGTGTGTATATATATATATATATATATAGTATTCAGCTTTGTTCAGGTATTTTCCCACGTCATTATAGTTGTGCTTTTATAAAAATAGACAGTAATAACCAGCTGCACAAATTAAAAATTGTGGACTTTTAACTAAAAGGGTATTTCCAAGAAGTTTGTGTTAGTTAGTGGTGACACCATATCTCAAATTATAGCAATAAACATTGGAATACTTTAAATATATGCAGTATGCCCTAATAGTGCCTTTCGTAACTTAGTTTCTTCCTTAGTCTAATATTGGGACTACAACATCCAAAGGTTTCAGCCTTTTTGGATGGAAATGTTGGTTGTTGTTGAATCAAAACTTATGGAGAGTACCAGGTTGGAAAATGCATCTGTGCTAAAAGAAATTTCTGGCCTTAGTGTAATACCATACTTGGTTTCAATAAATGCAAAACAAGATTGAACGTACCCAACTGAAAGCAAGTTGTT